CCTGGTGAGGGGTTGGGGTGCTGGGCCACCCAGTCTTGCTGGGAGCTCTGGCCTTCGCAGTGGGAGACTGTGGAGAAAGATGGTGCTTTGGAGACAGTAAGAACATATTAGAGCTACAGAATTTATATGGTATACGTATTTTAAACACTGTATAACTGCTTTATTTAACTGTACAAGTTTATTTAACTTATTTCTCCAGGAAGCTAGATGTTCACTTTTTTTCCATCTTTAAATTTTTTTATTTTTATTTTTTAGTTTTAATTATAAACTACACAACATAAAATGTATCATCTGGGCCATTTCTAAGTGTCGAGTTCAGTGGTGTGCAGTACATTCACACTGGTCTCCAGAGCTCTGTCATCTTGCAGAACCGAAACTCTCTGCTTGCTAAACAATAACTCCCCACTGCTCCCTGCCCCAGACCCTGGCAACTACCATTCTGCTTCCTGTTTCTATGAGTTTGACTAGATGCCCCATATAAGTAGAATCCTACAATATTTGTGGGTTTTGTGTGGGGTTTTTTGTGACTGGCTTATTTCACTTAGTATACATCCTTAAAGCAAATCCATGTTGTATGTGTCATGATCCCCTCCCTTTCAAAGCCTGAATAATATCCATTTGGTCAATTATGCCCCATTCTTAATTCATTCACCCCCTGATGGGCACTTGGGTTGCTCCCCCCTCTTGGTTATTTTGAGTAGTGCTGCTCTGCCCGTGGGTGTGCACATCTCTCTTTGGGGCCTTGCTTTCAATTATTTTGGGTAAGTNTTTGAGTAGTGCTGCTCTGCCCGTGGGTGTGCACATCTCTCTTTGGGGCCCTGCTTTCAATTATTTTGGGTAAGTCCCCCCCCATCCGAGATTTCATTTCAGTCGACTACAACCTAAAAATATTAAACAGAAAATCCCAGCCCTGGCCCGTGTGGCTCCGTGGTTAGAGCATTGGCCTGTGCAGGCACCCGGGTTGCAGGCTCCATCCCCGGCCTTGGGGGTGCGTGCAGGAGGCAGCCAATCGATGTGCCTCTCTCACACCAATGTTTCTCTCTCCCTCCCTCCCACTCCCTCTAAAAACCAATGGAAAAAATATCCTCAGGTGAGGATTTTAATAATTTTTTTTTTTTAATTTTTAAATAAATAGAAAATTCCAGGAATATATCATGCACCAGTTTTAAGTTGAGCACCATTCTGAACTGTGTTGACGACGCCCCATGCTGTCCCCCTGCATCCCACCCAGGGAAGCAAACGGTCCCCTAGTCCAGCATCTCAGTCCTGCAGACACTCCCCTCCTGTGAGTCCCGTAGGAGCCTCTGGTTATTAGGTCAGCTGTCTCGGTGTCCAGGGGCTTGTCATCCAACAATCCTTGTTTTACTTAATCACAGCCCCCAAGGGCAAGAGCGATGACGCTAGCAGTTCAGATGGGCCCGAGAGAGACACCATATAGTGCCTCCTATTCCGGAAAAGGTGACAGTTCTCAACCTGATCAGCACAGAGAAAAAAACTGTATACTGAGGCTGCCCCCTGCTGGGGATCGAGGAGCCTGCAACCCGGGCATGTGCCCTGACCTGGAATCGAACTGGCAACATTTCAGTGCCCGGGGACCACGCTCAACCCACCGAGCTACACCGGCCAGGGTGCGGGTGCGGTTTCCATAGAGGCCAGGAAAGGCCTCAGTGGGAAACCAGAGGGAGAGGGAGCCAACTGTCAGCTGTGACAAACGGTGAACGAGACTAGGTTTCGGGGGAACACCCGTCATCTGTTAGGATCTGGAGGAAGGTTTCGAGCAGGGCAGGAAGACAGAGAGCTGGCCGGGGCGGGTGAGGGTGGGGACAGGGGCTGTGGAGCAAAAGAGAAGAGCACGGAGACCGAGAGAGGCATTTGGAACCCACCACAGAGCAGGCTCAGAGACCACAGGGACAAGACTTGGAGGGGCTGGCTATGTTCTAAGACTGAGGAGGTGCTCGGACTGGGGAGCTCAGTTGGTTGGAGCATCATCTGGACATGCCAAGGTTGAGGGTTTGATCCCTGGTCAGGGCACCTACAAGAATCAACCGAGTGCATCAGTAAGTGGAGCCACAAATCCGTGTTTCTCTCTCTCTCTCCCTCTTTCTCTCTAAAATCAATTTTTTTAAAAAAAGACAGGAGGTAAGTGGGGTGAGGGGGCCTAGCAGGATCTCCAGGGGGTGCATGAGGTCCTCCTGGGATAGTAGAAACAGAAACCTCCCAGTGGACCTTCAGGGGGTCACTTTTTCAATGCAGGGTCACGTATAGTAACAGGGATTGTGCTTCATCACCCCCTATGTCAGGGTAACAACCCTTCCTGCATCTGCAAACCAGAAAGTCCCCAGAGAATCTGAATTCAAGTAATATTTGTTCATGCAGAATGGAAACCGAAAGTAACCTCCAGCGCCTCAAATTTGAACAACCCACAGAAGCAGTGTCTGATCACTGGGACACATCAGTATCCAGTTTCATTTCTGAGGCCTGTTACAACACCATGGACTTGGGGAAATCCCTTTCCATCCACACTGTTTGTTCCCTGTGGATCTGGGGAGGGCCCGAGATAGGGGGCGCCCACTGCGCCGAACCTCACCACGGCCTGGGAAAGCTGATTTTGTTTTGGCCCTGGTTGTAGCTTGCCCATGTACTCAGCAGATACTGAGTGCATCCTGCATGCCAGGCACCAGGTGCCAGGCTACCAGGTGAAAGTTCCAGCCTGGGAGAGAGTCACCAAGATGCAATGCAGCCAAGCTGGTGGGGCTTCCTCCAAGCCTGCTTCTCCTTGACCCAAAACTTTGTCAGCCCAGCCGGAGGCACAGCCTGTCCAGGGCAGACAGATGGCCGTGTCCAGGGTACCCTGAACCAAGGGAGGCTGTAAGGGCTCCCTCACCACTTCCCTACCTTCCCTGGGCCGGGCTGGGGGGCTAGCCCCCTCTCACCTCGCCCCTTCGCCCTTCCCAATGAAGAGCCTCAATGTCCCAAGAGTCAGCTCCCCCATGTCCCATTTTAAAAAAACAAAAAAAAAACAACTCCTAGAATGTGAGGTTGGCGGCAGCCCAGAAGCCGTGGGGCATTCCCTGAGCTCCAGTCTTGGGGATGTTTACTCTAGGGGCAGGCAGAGGTTGAGAAAGGAGAGGGAGATGAGGCAATCCGCTCGGTCCATGTCCACATCAGCAGCGTCAGCTGAGCGATGAGGTGGAGGACCGGGGCAAAGGCGTGACAGCAGGACACGGAGCCTGTCCTCTGTCAGCCCTGACTCAGGCCATGGAGCCTCCCCTGACCTCTGGCAGGAGGTGGAGCAACGGCCCACGTGCCTCGCTTGGAAAACGAACCTAAAACCAAAGCAACTACAGCAGGGTCAGGATTCCCCGCTCGCTCCCCTCCCTCGAAGTCAGAGGTGAGTCACCACTAAGAGCAACTGCAGCAGCTGAGAAGTGGCCACAGGGAGGCAGAGGCAAGAGAGCCGAGCGCACAGGAAGCAGGCAGGTGAGAGTGGGAGCCCGGGCGGCAGGTCCAAGGCGTGTCTCCGGGGCGGCGGGTCAGGGCAGGTGGCCTCCCAGTCCTGAGGCTGCCAAGAAGGACCAGAGGCCCTGGGACCGCCAGACTGAGACGGCGGGAGGGTGGCAAGAGGCCAACTTCCCTCTGCCAGGTGGTGTTTGTGATAAAGGCAGGGCAGAGAGCACAGGCTGGTTGGGCAGTGGCTGAGGATGCCTGGGGCCCTGGCTGGACGCCCCCCCAAGTGATGGCCTTCCTGCCCCGTTCTCCAGCGCAGCTGAGCGTCCCAGCATGGCAAGCAGCATGGTGGCGGTGGCCATGGACTGTGAGATGGTGGGGCTGGGGCCCAGCCGGGAGAGCGGCTTGGCCCGTTGCAGCCTTGTGGACTTCGATGGCTTGGTGATCTATGACAAGTTCATCCGGCCCGAGGGGGAGATCACAGATTACAGGACCCGGGTCAGCGGGATCAGGCCCCAGCACATGGAAAAGGCCATACCCTTCGCCGTGGCCAGACGGGAGGTGAGTGAAGGGCCAGGTGCCAGCCAGGCCAAGGGGGGCTGCGGACAACCCCCGCTGGACATATATACACTCTTCCCTGGTGCCTTCCCCAAGTGCCAGATCCGTGACCTGTGCCACCCCTGGGTGGGGAGTTGCAGGGCATGGAGAAACCTGTGGGTGTCTCCATCACATCCCCACCAGACAGCCGCAGCCAGACTCCCAGCCGGGAGCAGCCTTCAGGGCTTCTGGTCCCCCTGGCTAGTCTACAATGGGGTCCCACCTGATGTTCCCTAAACTAATCTGGAGGCTGGATCCTCCGTTCTTTCCTCCACACCCAGTGGCCACTGGTGAGCCCTGTGGAGATGAGGGCGGGTCCAGGGCGGAGGCTTTCCCTGGCTGGGCCCTTGGCAGGAGGGGGCCCTCAGAGGCCTAGAATGCTCGCCCCAGTCCTCTGGGCTTGCTCCCAGGCCCAAGGCAGACAGGCAGTGTGTGGTCCCAGGCCCGCCCACTCCTTCAGTAACTCCATATTTCTCCTCCGGGTTTAACTTTCTGTTTCTCAGAGTCACCAAACAGAAAGCAAACTCAGCTTCTCTAGGGGTGGCCCCTAGGTTAGTCACTTCTGGGAAGGGTTAGAAGGGCAGACAAGCTCATTGGTCTCTACGCTGGTGGGGCTCAGGGATGTCCAAGTGGAACAGAGAGAACTGGGGTTCCTCTCAACTTCCCATGCGCTCTCGTGCCAGGCTCCAGGCGATAAAACCACAATAGCTACCATTTTGTTTTGTTTAATCCGCACCTGAGGATATGTTTTCATTGATTTTAAAGAGAAAAAGAGAGGGGGGGGCATAGATCTGTTGTTCTACTTATTGATGCACCATCGGTCGATTTTGTAGGTGCCCTGACCCGGGGTGGAACCCACAGCCTTGAAGTATTGGGACCATGCTCTAACCAACTGAGCTGCCCGGCCAGCACCCAGAGTTGGTTCCTTCTGAGGGCTGTAGACAGAGCCTGTGTCTCTCCTAGCCCCCAGCAGCTGGCTGGCTGGCGATCTTTGATGGTCCTTGGCTCGTTAGAAACAAGTCTCCGTGTTCATGTGGTGTTTCTCCGGTTGCGCGTCTCTGTGCCCTGATTACCCCTTTTTAGAAAAACACCAGTCATTAGGATTAGGGGCTCCCCCTAATTACATCTGTTTCCAAATAAATCACACTTTGAGGAACTGGGGATTTCAAGAAATGAATCTGGCGGGGAAGGGGGGGCGTGGTTTGTATAATTCAGCCCATAACACTAAACTACTTGCACAAATTCAGAAAACATAATGGGAAAGGGCTGGTCAGGGTTCAAACCCCAGGCTCAAAAAAACCTCTAGAGCTGTGTGTCCAATAGGCTACCACCAGCACCTGGCTGGTGAGCCCCAGAAAAGCAGGTCTGAACCCCAAAATGCTGTGAGTGTACAGTGGATCTGAAAGACATATATATATATATGTGTGTGTATATATATATATATATATATACATATATATATTTTTTTTTAAATCATAAAATACCTCGGTAATTTTCTATAGCGATGACATGTTGAAACAGTAATATTTCGGATCTGCTGAGTTAAATAAAACATATTAAAACTAATTTGACCTATTTCTTTATACCTTCTTAAATACTGTTACTGGATGATTTAAAATTACTTATGTGGCTCCTGTAATATTTCTATTGGACAGCACTGACCTAGAGGTACTAAGAGGGTGCTGAGGAGCCCTGGGGACAGGCCACAGTACATCACAGTGGTCCTGCAAAGAATCCATGAGGCTGGTGGCATTCGCAAGGTGTGGGAGGCGTTTGTGTACGCAACTGAGTGAGCCATGGGGAGCAGCAAAGATTCTTGAGAAAGAGCATGGCAGGATCAAAGCCAGTTTCAAGAAAACTACAATGGGGGGGGGGG